AATGGGCTTCACACATTGTACCCATGTCGGGAATCGAACCCGGGTCTTCGGCGTGATGAGCGAACGCTTTAACCACTAGGCTACCCGACCGCCCCACTTTTGTTGTAGTCCTATCTGGACGTACAACTGGAAAATGAGGTGGAAACCATTTACTATTTCGTACCTCTGCAGAGGACACCTTTCGAATTTATCCTTTCTGCAAATACTGATCTAGAACAGAACCATAAGCATCAGCAATCTGTTTGTCCTTGGACAACTTCTTCTCAGTGCTAAGAAGACGATTGAAAGCCATGTTATAGTTATCTGGTTGTACTGAAGTGTCTTTCTTACAATTTCAATTGCAGCCAATTCACCATTATTGAATTCATTCATTGGGCCACATGAAAAGTTTTCTACTTCCCAGAACTTGTTCACTAAAACGTTCAGATTCTGTAATTCTCTTTCATTGTTATCAGTGAAAAATGTACTTGCAAAATGTGTCTCATATTCACCAACCCCAGGAACATGTCCTATGCATGTCCATCCGAGTGGAGACAGCCTTGCAACAGGTTCTCCTTGACAACCACATACCTCTTCATAAGAACGATGAAGGTCAAGGTAGTCAATACCTAATAGAATATCTACCACAGAACGAGAACCAAGTTTTGGAAATTTTATCCCATTCAAATGTTTCCATTTTTCACAATGTTTTTTCCAATCGACAACTTGCATTTTTCCTGTAACCTTTTTCGTTGTAAAAGGCGACTTTGATATATCAACAGAACCATCAATGCTTTCTAGTCCAAAATCAACAGTCATTGATTCAAAACTCTTTCTACCATTCAGAACATTGACCGATACTTTCTGATAATGGCCTTGCAATCAAAGTTCCGCAGCTACATCTTCGTTTATATATGTCTGCGTACTTGCATCATCTAAAAGAGCATTGACTGTTATCCTGCGACGACCATGTTTAAGAACTACTGGAACAGTTCTCAGTGCTGTGTAAGGCATGTCACATTGAGTAGTCGACATAGTGGTGGTTTGTGTGTTATCTTCTGAATGTGGGGGCCTACTCACCTTTGGACTGTCTGCAATATCCCTGATTTTATCACCATTGTGAAGTAAGCGATTGTGATTTGCGGGACAACCATTTATACCACAGTCAGTAAACCTAGTGCAGCTCTTACCAGTGGTTAGAGCCCAAGCAACGGAAGCAAAGATAAAACGTCTTTGCAACATCCCACCTTCTAGCAACGCTCAGGGCTTTGAATTTAGTGCAAGTCCAAATGTTATGACTTGCACCCGGACACATTTGACACTGACGTTTACGATCTCTGTTCTGGCGATTGCCAAAGAAGGTACCATCTTTACCTGATGATTTACGTTCATGTGATTTTTGCTTTTCAGACACCCCATTGATGACTTCAGTAGCAATGACCTGAAATTCTGCTTCCTGCAAAACCCATTCTCTGAGGACTTCAACAGATTCCTGTCTCTGGTTCTCAAATATCCACCTCTGATATTGTATTACTTTGAATTATGTTAATTTCTTAAGTAATTGTGAATATAACGTGCCATCCCCCAATTCTTCTAACTTGTCCGATTCTCTAAGGTTTGCCACTAAAATATAAAACAAGTCTGAAAACTTCTCTAAATCTCTAGCATTACCAGGTCTAATTGGTTTGAACTTTGTTATCTCTTCTAACTTTATAGCCATGTTACGTCTTTGGCCACCATATTTGCGCTCAAGACGTTCTAACGCTATGTCATATGCAGCCGCACTATGACCTAAGCTCTGAATAACTTTCAGTGCTTCTCCGGTAAGACATTGTCTTAACTGTAACAGTTTGTATTGAGGTGTTGCTGGTGCCATGTCTATACAGGCTAAGAATGCTGCTTTCCAATTCTCATACATTTTAATGTCACCATTAAATGTAGGTACGGAAACTCTTCTGAGTTGTTTCCACATATCTACCCCTAGCTCGTGACTAGTTGTGATGGGAGGTGTCCCTCTATGAACACCGTGATAAACTCTAGAACCTTCAACAACATTTGACTTCTTCTCTAAACATTCAAATTGTTCATGTTTCTGTTTGCCCAAATTCTTGTCTAGGCATTTTTCAATGTCAGTGTATTCTGTTTTCTTAACAGAAAACATTTTTTGTTCACTTTTATCTGGTTCATGGAATAACTTTGACAAAAAGATTGTTTTTCTGTAACAACTTAAATGGATTGAATGGTTGATTAGTTTTTTTAACTAAATCATCGCTTTCTTCTTTAACAGTTTTTGTCCGCTGGACGGAACACCTAGACCATGGTTAATTCCTTTAATACGCCAATCTTTACTCGTAGAAATATTAAATTCCTGGCAAATACGTTCATACGCGAACCTATTGTACTGATTATTTGTTTCCATCCATGCTCGATCCTGCGGTAATGGGGCATTAATTTCTTTAAGTATACATTTGTACGTCTAATCTGATAATACACGTGAAATGATAAAACAGACTTATTTAGTTCAAATCCTGGGGCATAAAGTGATACACCACATCCCGTTGTGGCACACCATATGTCAAAGTTTAACTGATTCTGCCAAAATTGCATCGGATTGTGAAACCAATCGTGCACCATTTTATCACTAGTTGCCGTGAACCTGTATTTTCAAAGATATCAGGGAATTCAACAAAAAACTTAGCACCAGAGGCACTTACTAAAATCGACTGATTAGTTGATTTCATATTTAAGTTATAATATAGAATCATTGTATATTTAATATGTATGTTACACTCATGGGAATAACAAATGGTCAGTCTATTCAACTGCTTCATACTATCGATAACTCGGATGGTCAACTTGAAGTCGCCCTATGCGATGTAATGTATTACCCGCGGTGGACCAATATAAATGCTGTGAGAAATAATAATAAGATACATATATTAGATGGCAATGTTATTGACAAATACATTATCTTACCTGATGGGTATTACAGCGTATGCTCACTCAATGATGAAATTTTTAAGCCTAATGGAATTAGTTTCACACACAATGAGTCGAATGGGATACTGTTTTTAAGCACTGGAGAAAAGGTTATAATTCTTTACGAGAACTTAGCAATTACACTTGGATATGCACGCGAAGGATTAATACAACCCAACATAACAACACAGGGAGTTAAATTACCCGATTTAGTTCCCTATAAAGTGTTGTGCATCCATCTTGATCAAATCAGTACGACGGATAATATTCAACTAGAAAGTCCTTCAACTCTACTCAGATCTATTCCAGTGAAAGATGAAAAATACAATAGTGGTAGAACGGAATCTTTCTCAACATTACAATATAAAAAATTAAAGCATGGTATTATTTCAGACCTCAAAATTTCTGTATTAGATGTAAAACACCAACCTGTACATATAGGATACTTAAGTGTAACACTCCATATTATAAATAATGGTTGATTCATCAGGCCCTGGAACGCTCAGACAATGTAATACAATTGCGCTTTCCGATCTCGGAGACACAGAAGGATTTGGTAAACCCGGTACCGATGGTAAGTTATACGCTTTACACTTACAAGATAATGTATACAAGCAGAAAGAAGTTACATTCACAGGTAATCTAGGAGATTTAAGCGATGTCGACGTTAGTAGACTCCTTAAAAACACTTCGTACAATCTTACTCACAACGATGATAATAAATGGACTATGGTTGAAGCAAACATCGAGTGGCTACTGAATATCGTCATTACCCCACCGTATGTGATGACGGGTAAGGCACATAATATAACTAAGATTATAAATAGTGGGATCGTACTCGCGGCTTATATCCCATCAAAACGAAAAGGCACTCGTGAAGAGCAACCTCCTCGTGGTGAGTGCTGGGTAACGCTAATAGCTCTTCCCCCGTGTGGACTCGGGGTAGAATTTGTCCACAGCACCCCATTGCTGGTCGTAAAAGGCGACCGAATTGGGCAACCTGTTTGCCGTGGGTTGCTTCCCTGTGTCGGTGGAGGAAGGGATTCTGGTGGTTGAGGGCACGGGAGCCAGGAACCAGTGTTCCTTTTGCCCAACACACCACTTTGACCCTGACTTCACCTAGACAGGTGGTAGGATGGGCCCGGTCTTATCAATCGGCTGGTCATGCCAGGCCCTGTGCATAATATTGTGTTTGCACAAATGTGATTTTTTATAAATGTATTATTTGGTCTTGGTCATGTACATGTTTGACTTCCCAAATTATTATGTAAAAGTTTGCCTAGAGTCTTATGCCAGAAGGTGGTGGCTCATGGGCCAATCTGGTGATGTTGACCTCCAAATTCAGTATGTATCCGATTACTTGTCATGGGCCAAACCAGCCTGGCATTTAATTTGGTATATAAATATTGCTATTTGCGTCATACTTGCTGGAGTATATCATCCCTGTATCCCTGGTGTTTGCATGTTGGAGTTCCGGTACAACAAAACATCGCTTTTTGTAGCACTCCATGGTGGGTGGGGAGCAGGGGTGCTGAATTACTATATTTCACCATGTCACACCAAAACCCTGGTTCAACCCGTTCAAAACGAAGACATGTCGATCTTGATGACATTGATCAAAGTGAACAATTATCTCGTGGCTTAGATTCCTGGTCCCGTTTTATTGTGATTGAGGCAGCTAAAAAACAACCTATTAAGCTAAATCCATTCGCCATTTCCAAAGCTATTTTAGGAATTTGCGGAGAAGTGAACAATGTTACACGTCTTCGCAGTGGCTCTCTTCTTGTTGAGTGTTCACGGAGACAGCAATCTCTGAATCTTTTGTCTGTAACTACATTCGCAAATATTGAGGTTGCTGTGTCCGTCCACAAAACCTTGAATTCTTGCCGAGGCATTGTTCGAGACAGAGCTCGCTGCCTGTCCGACATGTCAGAGCAGGAAATTACTGATGAACTGACAACTCAAGGGGTAACAGCAGTTAAGCGTTTTACTATGAAATCGAGAGACGGTGACATCATCCCGTCAAACACTTATCTGCTTACCTTTGCTCTTTCGGCCCTTCCTAAGTCAATCAAAGCTGGTTATCTCAACATCGGAGTGGAGGTGTATGTCCCCAATCCACTCCGATGTTTCAAGTGCCAAAAGTTTGGACATGGTTCTAAATTTTGCAATCACTCTGTAGTCTGTCAGCGCTGTGGCGAAGGCCATGACAACACCGACTGCACGGCTGAAGTGAAATGTGCCAACTGCAAAGGAAAACATCTGGCTTCATCAAAGTTATGTCCTGAATGGCAAAAACAGACAAAAATCCTGAAGCTCAAACATGAGAACAATATCTCGTTTTACGAGGCTAAGAAGCTCATTGAAAATCAATCTCCACAAACTCCACTAACCAGAACATATTCTGCTGCTGTAGCTATCGCTACTCCTCCAAATCCTACACAAACATCCATTTCTATCCAGACAGATTTGACATGGATTACATCCGATCAACCTGTTAACATATCTTCTGTAGTTACTTCAAATACATCTTCCACTCAAACAGTAAGCCCATCCGAACCTTTGACTGCTGAAGCTGGTGTGGAGTCTGTTGCTAAAGATCCAGAGGCTGTAGAACCAGCTACTATCGACTCTGCCGTTGTTACTCTGACAAGAAAAGAAAGAAAAAAATTAAACAGAAAACAAACTACTTTGAAATCCTCGTCTTCAGAGGTTTTTCTCAACAACCCCTTTGATGCTCTTGACATGGATGTCACCCCATCTCCAGAGACCAGAAGGGGTTCTTCTTCCTCACATTCTCGTGAGCATTCACCAATTGAGCCACCGTGACTCAATCATCACATTTAATACAGTGGAGGACTTAGGAATAATTGTAACGATTTACAACTCTTAATTCAAGATTTTAAACCATCAGCATTATGTTTACAAGAAACATACTACAAAGAAACTGACACATTTGATATACGAGGTTATTCCTCCTACAATGTATTTTCACCTCCTGGTGCAAAGGCCACTGGGGGCTCTTCAATCTTAATAAAACAAGGTGTTATCCATAGCCCCGTCCATCTTGCAACCCCCCTTCAAGCTGTTGCAGTCCTTGTGACTCTGCACATTGTGTTTACATTGTGCTCGCTCTATATTCCACCATCTTCTTCTCTCCGACAGTCTGAACTTCAAGCTCTCTATGATCAACTCCCAAAGCCCTGTATTATCATGGGCGATTTAAATGGACACAATCCACTTTGGGGTAGTGTTCAGACTAATAACAAGGGGAAACTTTTGGAAGATTTCATTTCCAGCAACGATTTGTGTATCCATAATGATGGTTCAAATACGTATCTGCATCCCGGTACAGGTACCTACTCTGCTCTCGATTTGTCAGTAACAGATTCTGAATTATTAAACAAATTTGAATGGTCCGTCCATGAAGACCTCTGTGGAAGTGATCATTTCCCAACCATTTTAAAACCCGTCTTACCTCCCGATGTTCCTCCTTCAACAAGATGGAACTTTACTAAGGCTAACTGGCCTTTATTCGAAATACTTGCATCCAAAAAGTTACAACCTGATCTGTTTCTTGATGCTACTGACCCTGTACAATTATTTTCTGATGAATTAAACAAAATCGCTGATGACTGTATTCCTAAGTCCTCTACTAATCCTCACATTCGTAAACCATGGTTTAACGATGACTGCAAACAAGCTAGGAAGGCACGGAAAAAGGCTGAACACTACTTCCGTCGCCATCCCATGGTACATAATTTGAATAAATTTTAAATTTTAAATGCTAAAGCCAGACGTACGTTTAAACAAAATAAACGCCAATCTTGGCAAAATTATGTTTCCAAGATAAATTCTCGTACGCCCATGTCTAAGGTATGGAACATGATCCAGAAAATTAAAGGTAAAGGTTCTAAATCTAGCATACATCACCTTAAAAATGGAGACGAACTATTGACTGATAAATCGGAAATTGCAAATAAACTTTGTAAATTCCAAAAATACCAAAAACTGCAAGAAACGAAAATCATAAATTTCAAATCAGATAATGGGGAAGATTATAACGAAATATTTTCAATCCATGAGCTTCATACTGCTCTTGGACAAGCACACGATACTGCTACAGGAGCTGATAATATACATTATCAACTCCTGTTTAGAAACCCTTCTACTAACTTTTGATGAAATCTGGACATCAGGTGAATTTCCATCCTCATGGCGAGATGCTATTATTGTTCCAATACCTAAGCCAGGACGTGATCATACTGATCCTTCAAATTATCGTCCAATTTCATTGACCAGCTGCGTTTGCAAAACCATGGAACGCATGATCAATAATCGACTAGTTTGGTACTTAGAAACCAATAACCTAATTACAAATATTCAATGTGGTTTCCGTAAAAATAGAAGTACAATTGATCATTTAGTACGTTTAGAATCATTTGTTAAAAATGCCATAATAAACAAACAATATGCAGTGTCTATCTTTTTCGATCTCGAAAAAGCATATGACACTACATGGAAACATGGTATTTTAAAGGACTTACACGATTTTGGATTGAGAGGCCGTTTGCCTCAATTTATATCCAAATTTTTAACTGACAGACAATTTCAAGTCCGCGTGGGCTCAACCCTGATTATAATCAGGATCAGGGTGTCCCACAAGGCAGTATCTTGTCTGTTACACTATTTAGTATTAAGATAAATAGCCTGTCTAAGGTCTTAAATGATTCCATAGATGGGTCGCTTTTCGTGGATGATTTTAACATATCTTGTCTTGGTAAAAATATGCATTCAATTGAAAGACAACTGCAGTTATGTCTTAATAAAATTCAAAGATGGTCACTTGAAAATGGCTTTAAATTTTCTAAAGCCAAGACAAATTGTATACATTTTTGTCGCAAATATAAACCACATCAAGACCCTGTACTGTATTTGGATGGCACACCTATCAAAATTGTAAAGGCAGCCAAATTCCTGGGACTTATTTTTGATAGCCATTTGACATTTAAACCCCATATCAAATACCTTAAAGCTAAATGCCTGAAGGCACTCAATTTGTTAAAAGTCGTTTCCAATTCAAAGTGGGGAGGTGATCAGAAGACCCTCCTCCAACTATATAGATCTCTCATACGTTCAAAACTGGATTATGGCTCCATCGTTTATGGGGGTGCATGCAAAAGCAATCTAAAAATTCTGGATTCTATACATCACCAAGGACTACGGCTCTGCCTTGGATCCTTCAGAACTTCTCCCATTAACAGTTTATATGTAGAGGCTGATGAACCATCACTAAAACTCAGACGTCTAAAATTATCTTTACAGTACATTACCAAATTATCTTCAAATCAGTCAAACCCTGCATATGATTGCGTTTTTCACCCCCTATATGAGGACCTCTACCAAAAGAAATCTTCTCTTATTCCCCCTCTTGGAATAAGGTTGAAAACTGCAATTTCTGATGCAAATTTACACCTTGAAAATATTTCTCCTTACCGCCTTCTGTCTTCACCTCCTTGGCAACTGATAAAGCCAGAGGTAGACCTGACACTCACACAACTAAAGAAATCTCAAACTAATCCACTAATTTATCAACAAGAATACCATCAACTGAGAACTAAATATGATACATACCAATCTATTTTTACAGATGGATCCAAGGATGGTGACGCAGTTGCTAGCGCTACTATCATTGGATCCAGAACAATATCGTTCAGGTTGCCACATGACAGTTCAATTTTCACGGCAGAATCACACGCCATCTTAACAGATCTTAAATACATTAAAAATCAACCTAAGCATAAGCAGTTCATAATATTTTCAGACTCTCTTTTGTGTCTTCAGGCTATTCATAACATGTCCAGTACACATCCACTTTTACTCGAAATTGTCGAATTGTATAATGTTCTCGCTACTGGCCCATACGACATCGCTCTCTGTTGGTTACCCAGCCATGTTGGAATCGTTGGTAACACAATGGCTGATGCTGCTGCAAAAGCAGCACTCAACAAATCTGTGACACCACTTCTAATCCCCTACAGTGATCTTAAACCCTTGATTAGATCGTACATCCGAGATCTAATGGAAAAGAAGTGGGACACCCAAGTAGGTATTAATAAATTACATGAAATTACACCAAACATCGGTTACACCTACTTGGGTTGTCAGTCCAGATTTGAAGAGGTCATTATGCGACGATGTCGTATTGGCCATAGTAGGTATACCCACGAATAAATTTTAAATGGTCAAGATCCTCCATTTTGCATCCCTTGTGATGAGAGAATCACCGTCAAGCATGTCCTGCTTGATTGTGTTGATTTTTCCATCACAAGGGATAAATATTTCAAAGTTTCATCCTTAAAGGATCTTTTTAGTATCAATGCTCATTTAATTATTGACTTTTTAAAAGAAATTGAATTGTTACATAAATTTTGATTGATATGTTTTGTATATAATATAGTTTTTATAATTGGTAAAATAAATTTGATGACTGAGATTGTTATTGGCTGTATCCTTGAAGGGGGTTGAAGTAACGTAAAATTATTGTCCCCCTGAGAGGATATGTAAGACCACATCATTCAAAGTACATTTATTCTTGCCACAGTTTTAGACGTAGAATATTTGTTTATTTTAAGTGTTGGCTAAATTGCATATAATCACCAGCGGCTGAAGGGATGGTGTAAATCCTGCTGGGGAGTCGTGCAGGTAGCAAAAGTATTGTAAGTCCCCACGGTCCCCAGTAAGGTGGCCCAACTTTGGTTGCTGGTGATCTATAGCCCATTTTTATATTGTATTGTTGATTGAAAATGTATTCTTTTTAATGTTCTCAACTAGTTTTAAAATCAAAACTGTGATACTCTAGTTATTTTTACTGTCCTTCGATGACAGATATTTATTCCATTCAAATATTTGTATTTTATGTCAGTTCTCGTCACGATATGGCTGAAATACTGCCGATGTGACGTTAACTATTAACTCACTCACTCACTCAAAACGAAAAAGTGTGTTAGTTACCCCTCTGCCAGAAAACCCAGATCATATGTTATATAGTCGTCCGGCAGTAAAAAATGTTAGTTTAAATTTGGTTACTGAATTCAATGATATTAAACAGAACTTGAGTGCAATACCTAATATTTCTACGCTTATTATTAAAGTCTTGTTCGGAGATGCACTGGAAAATGCCTTCGAAATATTACCAGGCCTATCGATTAAATGGCTAAAGAAACACGAGCGTCAACGTTGTGCACAGTATTATTCATATTGGAGCATCACCCGTTGCAACCCTTGAGGGGGTCCAAATTATTAAAAGTGGTAGTATTTCTTTTACTGAGATATTCATGCCGTATAATATTCATTTGATAAGGTTGATGTATACTCTCAAAACATTTAAGCAAGACCAATTAAAGACTATTGTATATATTGTAATATACACTATGAGTTTATATCTGGCGCTCGATGAGGCATCTGAAAAGATGGATACTGTTGATGGATTTCGATTACATTAAATAAGCGACATAAAACATCCAATAGAGAAGGAGAGGGAGTTTAGACTTGGATTGTATAAAAAGTATTGCAGAGCCGTGAATGCTCTCGACGGAGTTGACACTGCACTTGTAACAGCTGGCATGGGACTCGGTGTAGCCGGTGTTGGTTTATTATCAACTATAATCGCCGCGCCTATCGTACTTGGCATGGAAATAGCGTCCGGAGTCTCAGGACTGGCAGGAATAGCGATAAAATTCATTTCTCATAGGTTGCAAAAGAAAGCATTAAAACACGATAATATTCGGATACTCGCCGAAGCAAAGTTGAACAGCATTGAGGATCATATTTCGACAGCAATGGCTGATTGTAAGATATCCGAGGAGGAGTTTCATTTAGTGCAGTCAGAACTCACCAAATACAACGCAGTGAAGCAGGAGATTCGATCAAATTCTCGTAAGACCAGTGGTATTAGCGAAGATGAGAAAAAAAAGTTCATAGAACAGGGGAGACAACAAGCACGTCAATTATTCCATGCCAAAACCAAAGAACTGGTTGGAGATTAAAAATAGATTGCTTCCTATCATTAGATCACATTTAGAAGAATGCTTACGTAAGTATATAATAATGGAGAATTACAAACCAACAAAGGAAGAACTCGAAAAAGCTATCGAAACATTTATGCTCAGGGACAAAAATATCAAATGGAGAGAATTACCACAAGGTATATATTATATCAGTGATGTCAAACCAACCAAATACGGTCATCAATTGTTTCTTTCCAATTACCAAGAAGAGTATATAGTCTGGTCTCCTAGTAAAATGAACGAAGAACTTAGTAAAAATGTTGAATATCACTTTGTTAAAAATAATGGTATACATATTAGTAAAAATAATAGAGAATATTTTCATTACAATTTAGTTTAGTCTCATGACTATCGTTTTTGTACTAATGGTATCAATGATTCACTCCAGGTGGTGGTGAGCTAGAGTCAATTTAGCTGAATCTTATGACGATCGTTGTATCACATCATCATTTTTGCATATAAAATTCCCCCTGTAGTAGCAGTATAGGTATATAAATCTGGCTCCAGTGGAAGTGGTCCAGAACCCCTATTACCTATAAAAATTTATATCATAGAAGCATTGATTGACTACAGGTGGTGGTGAGCTAGAGCCAATTTAACTTAAACTCATGATGATCGTTGAATCGCATCATCCATTTTGACATAAAAAATTCCATCTGTAGTAGCAGTATAGATATATAAATCTGGCTCCAGTGGGAGTGGTCCAGAACCCCTATTACCTATACTACTACATGGAGATCGGTGACCAGTTTTGCGATGTGGCAGCCTTGCACTTCTAGCAGTGAAATTGCCCTCTTCAGACCAGCCAGTTCCATGTTGCAAGAACTCTTTACCTCATTGCTCTGACATAAAAATAGACATGGTAAGTGTAGCAAAAATATTGAAAAACTTGTCATCAAACTTGCAAGTAAAAGACTCCTAGGTTAAATTTATTT